TTTAAATAAAAAAAAAAAAGGAAAAAAAAAGAAAATCGAGGAGTTTTTTTTCTTTTTCTTTCCTTTGGACGTGCCTGGGAAAGAGGAGGAAGGAAGGGAAGGGAAGGGAATGGAAGGGGAGAGGAGAGGTGTAATTGGGGTCGAAGAGAACATGTTTACCACTGCCGATATGTTTGTTTGTTTCACTGTTCTTTTTTTTGTTATTATTTTTGTTGGAACAAAACCCCCTTTTTTTTTTTTTTTTTCTTCTTCAGTGTGTGTTTGTGTGTGTGTGTGTCCTTTCTCTCTCTCTCTCTTCTTTTTTTTTTTTTTTTTTTCTTTCCTTCCTTCTTTCTGTATGCATGTCCGTATGTATATATATATAAGTAGAAACGCATCTGTTTTTTTTTTTTTTTTTCCTGTGTGTGTGTGTGTGTGCGTCTTTGTATGTGTGAGTGTGGACTGGCAGCTGGGCAACACGGCCTTTAATTGAGGCGCAGTCCTTCACCTCCTCTTTTCACTCCGCTGAAGAAAAACAAACACATAATATATATATATATATATAAAGGAAATAGTATGAAATATAAATGCTTAATTAGGAAGAATGTAAGGTCTGCCTTTACCTGTTTTTGTTTTTGTTTTTATTTTTATTTTTGTTTTTATTTTCCCAGCCCTTCTCTCACCTTTTCCTCCTCCTTCTTGTAATAATAACTGCATTTCTTTCCGTTTGTTTGTTTGCGACGGTGGGGAAATGCAAAGCTGCACCAGGGCGATTTATAATTACATGCATAAATATGTTTTTTTTTTGTTTCCATCCCTCTGCATTTGCTATAAATTACACGTCTGGTTATTGCCACTATCCCCGGCACCTTAGGCACGTCAACATTAATTAATTTTGTTTGTTTGTTTGTTTGCTTGTTTGTTGTTTTCCTTTTTGTTTCTATTTGTTTTTGCTTGTGTGTGTCTCCTCTCACGTATTACAATTTCCACACACTTACATACATACATACATGTAGATACATTGTTATAAATAGATTGTTTTATAAAGCACATTGATTGGCTCTTTAAGGGTTTTTTGGGCTTCGAGTTTATATATATATGCGTATATACATATAGGCTTTTTTTGTTGTTGTTTTTTTAAGTTTTTTTTTTTTTTTTTTTTTTTTTCACAATGAAGCAAAAGAGAGGAAAGCAAGACGTGAAAATGCTTGAATCAGCTCCTCCACAACTTCTCCCAAAAAAGGGTCGGCTTGAGATTTCTGAGCTTGCTCCACAACAACGGACAATACGTACTGCGGAAGAAATTGAAACGGCATACAATGAGGCCGTTAGAAAACATCCTTTTTACGATAACGCCGATCACACGATTGATTTTCATGACGCCACTGTATTCCGTGACGCCAGAGGGGTGGTCGGGGGCGTCTTTTTACCAGGGGCGCTGCCTGCATTTGCCGCCACCATGGCAGCCGATGTGTTGCGACCTGCAGCTGTAAGGACATCTTTACGATCGAATATGTTTGGTGGGTTCGCACCTCTTAGTGGTATCGCCGGTTACTTTGACTATCGCGGATCTCCAGTGGAACTCAAATGCCGCAAGACATCCTTTACATATGAAAACGTTCATTCCTGGCCAAATGTGTTTCCGATGATTGATTACGTCAGTGCCATTTACAAAGCTGTTTTCCCGGAACAGTGGGCCGCGCAGGATGCAGCCGTGCCGGATATTGTCCGCATTCACGGATCCCCCTTTTCCACCTTGACGGTGAATCAACAGTTTCGGACCGCCTCACACACGGATGCGGGTGATTTTGATATGGGTTACGGTCTTCTGGCGGTTCTGGAGGGCAAATTTGAAGGTCTCTCCCTCGCGTTGGATGACTTTGGTGTCTGTTTCCGTATGCAGCCAAGGGACATCTTGATTTTTAATACGCACTTCTTTCATTCGAATACAGAGCCGGAGTTGAATCATCCAAGGGACGACTGGAGTCGACTAACCTGTGTTTGCTATTATAGGGCGGCGTTGGGGGAACCGGCGTGTGTTGCAGAATATGAACGACGTTTGGCGCGGGCTAAAGAAATAGGTGCCTCCCCCCCTCCTGCTGTAGATGCCATTTTACAAAAGGACAATGGCAACAATTTTAACAAACCCGCACCGACGTTCCCTTATTTACTCACACCGTTTGGAGGAGCGGCGAGCGTTTGCTCTCTGCATTGCTGCACCGCCAAGCTCCTGCGGCTACACGAGCTACTGTTAGAAAACCCAACGTTGGAAGTTATTTTATTTGGAGAATCGCTACGAACGGACGATGGCCTGCCCAGACGTGAAAAGGAGCAACTTATTTCTGTACACCTTCCTGTGGTTGTAAAGATGTCTCCCTCCGGTGGGTTTAGTGAATTGGGAGGGGCGCTAAAGGCTGCCGAGGAGAAGCAGTACTTCTTTGAGGAAAAATACTTGGCGGATGAACTCGGTCCAGACCTCATGTCCATGTGGACGCAGAGTCGTGCTCACTGGCTGAGGCTCGTCAAGGAGGATTGGGAGCGTCTCTGTCGAAGGGATCCAGAACGGACAAAATTTACCTGGAATAATTCGTCTGCAATGAATGCGGCCTTTTTTGATCTCTGTGAGGTGGCAAAGCAGATGATGATTGGACTGCTAAACAAGGAAACACCATCATCTGCTGAGAACCACTCCTTTTGGATTCTTTTTGCGGCACATTTAAATTACGCATGCACCACTGAAAATGGCATGCCGCGTGATGCCGTTGGGATGCATAAATTAAATGTTAAGCTGAAGGATTTTCACTTTGGTGGAACCCGGTACTTGAAGGATATGCCACCTGAGGAGCAGGAGAGGCGCTTGGAAAGGAAGAAGCGTATTGAGGAGGCACGCCGTCGAGGTAGCTCAGCGCATGAAACGCACACGGATAATTGGTTGCTAAATGACACGTTTGATTATCAGCAAGAGGACAGAAAGGTGGAATTTGAGGAAAACGGCTGGATGACTCCAGAGGCGTATGTAAAGCATCTGGGTCTCAAACCATGTGGCGATGTCACGGCGGCTGCAAGTCCCACCGAACCTATTCATGTTCTTGTCGTCTTGCCAAGACCGGCGGCGGCGGCGACGGCAAAAGATGCCAAGCGGGATGTTCCTTTGGCTACATCTGAAGAATCCATCCGTCTTTTAATGAATCCGGCCGCGCAGCGTGTGCTGAGAGGAAAGGCCCGGAATGTCGCCCTTCCTTCCCCATTGTCGTTTGGTGGTGTGAAAATCACAGTTCTTTTTGATGGTGATGATATTGACTGTATTCATCCCGATTTTGTGATTCTGCAACATCTCCTTGCCACCATTGAAGAGGATGAAGCGGCGAAGGCACGTGTGAAGTATTGGGCCCGCGTGGCACGCTATTGCGTGTTTGTCGTGGAGACGGATGTCAGGGACCGACGTCATTTTCTCCTCCGTGAGGAAGTACGGGTCGCCTACGAGGATGTTGCCGAGGACTGCTTTAGATCCCTTCATGCGGCGGCGTACTCAACAAAATACAATCGTTTGAGAACGACGCCTTCTCTTATCGCTCTCTGTAATAGAAAAAATATTGGGCTCCGCTTTAAGTTCAGGGGTTCACCCCTAAATACAATAGCCCTCGTCGTGGTCGGGGAGCGGTTAGATTGATAAAGGGATTTCATAAACTTCCATTCATCATCAATGATCATTTTTTTTTTTTTTTTTTTTGTATTTATTGGTCATATTCAAAATCTTTCATCACCACATGGACGTCTTTTGAGAGGACGTGTGGAAAAGGGGACTGCGGCCCAAATAAAAGTCTTTTATATGGGTAAAGCGTACATAAATAAACGTACATTTCAAACAAACAAACGAGCAAAAAAAAAAAAAAAAAGAGAAAGGAAGGGAAAAGAGGCAGGAGGGAAGGTGTTGTCGTGTCGGAGAACCCCTGAATGGACTCTGTTCAAAAGAATGGGTTTATAGAGAGACAGGGATTTATTTATTTATTTATTTATTTATTTATTATGATTGCTATTTTATATTTTTTTTTTCTTAATTGTGGAAAGGAAAGGGAGGAGGTGCCTGTGTCTGTGTTTGTGTGTGTCCGTTGTATGCATGGGACGAGGGTGCTGGGAGAATGGGAGGGAGGAGATGTCTTCTTTTTTTTTTTTTTTTTTTGGACAAATGCGGGTAATGTATAAGCAATGTGGCTTGTTTATGTGTGTCTGTGTGTGTGTGTGTGTGTGATTGTGCGGCCGTGCAAGTTATTCAGTATATATATTCTTTTTGTTGTTTGTTTGTTTTTGCAGTGATATAAACGACCAACCAAAGAAGAAAAAAAAAAAAAAACGAGATTTTTACAAAGGTTTGTTATTGGCATGCAGAATTCTCTTGACTATGCGGCCATTAAAGACATTGTTGCGAATAAGCTTCGAGGAGAACTTAAAACAACACATTTGATTGATGTACGGGGGCGGGATGAGGTGCAGAGTACGGGTCTCATCCCGACTGCGACAAATATACCCCTGGATGAACTTGAATCGGCGTTGAAAGCTGACCATGAATCGTTTCAAAAAACTTACGCAGTCCCTAAGCCACTACAGGATGATACTCTTATCATGTACTGTAAGAAGGGCTTAAGGGGATTGGAGGGAGAAAAACGCGCCAGACAGTGTGGATATACAAACACGGCGGTGTATCCTGGAAGCTGGGATGACTGGTCAAAGAATACAAAGGAACAAAAGGAGGAATAGTCTTTGTGCCGGTGGTGGTGGTGGCGATGAGTGGACATGGCATCATGCCATGATTCCCCTCCACTTTCTATATATTGCATTGTGACTGCTATATTACATATATATATATATATATACCGAAATGGAAGGCAATTCTTCCCCTTTTATATACATATACGTGTTGGCATACACGGTAGTTCCCGCACAATTTATTATTATTTTTATTTTCTTTATTATTATTATTATTTTTATTTTGTTGTTATTTTTAGTTTGCTTTTTCAATTTGATAAGGTGTTTGTTTGGGAGGGGAAAGGGGGAGAGAGAGAGGGAAGAGGAGGGAAGAGGAGGGGGAAGAAAAAAATGTTTGGGTTGACTCGCTGGCTACGCGTGAAGGTTACCGTGGAACAAGTGGCGGCAGTGGTGCAGGCAAAACTCTCTGGGGCACAATCGGTGCAAAACACACTTCTCATTGACGTCCGCTCCACGGGTGAGGTGGCGGCCACGGGTGTCATCCCCACAGCCGTCAACATTCCACTGAAGTTATTAGAATTTGCCCTCGGTGAAGAAGTGGAGGCGGAGGAATTTGAAAAAACATTTGGCGTACAAAAGCCCCAGCCAGGCATGACGCAAGTGATATTTTACTGTACCCACGGCGTCCGCTCCGCCATTGCCACGGAAATAGCAGGGAACTTGGGCTTCACCGATGCAAAGAACTTTGCCGGTAGTTTTACCGAATGGCAGAGACACCACGGTGAGCCTTGCGACAATGGAGACGTTCCATTAAAGTAAAAGCCGCGATGTGCCTTTATTTTATTTCTTTATTTATTTGTTATTGTTATAATTGTTTGTGTAGGAAGAAAAAAAGAAAAAAAGAAAAAGAATTCACCTTTTTTTTTTTTTTTTTCGTTTCCCCTTCCTTTTTTTCAGTTGTACCTGCGGGTGGGAGGCACTGGGATGTTTTAAAAAAAAAGGGCAGAAATAGTGCGGTGCCTAAAAAGAAAAGAAAAGAAAAACAGCTCATGTGTTTTTTTTTTTTTCATTTTCCCCTTTATTTCCCTCTTTACGCCTTTTATTTTTTATTTTTCTTTTATTTATTTATTTATTTTTTTTTTTTTTAGTTGTCTTGTGGGTTTGCCTTTGCGGCGTTGTTTCTTTTTTCTCCTCCTCCCTCCTCCCTTTTTTTTTTTTTTCTTTCTTTTGTTCTCTTCATTTTCCCTTTCTTTTTTTTATTTATTTATTATTATTATTATTTTATGCAATCATGTCTTCTATGCGAATTGCGCATGCTTCGCTTGGTGGTGTGTGCACAGGGAGGGAGTGTGGAAGCCATGGGCCAGGATAATTCATTTGAGAATATTGAGCAGAAGAAGGCGCTGAGTTTATTTGAAATGGAGGCACTTGTGAAGAGCAAATTGGAGGGGGAGAACAGTGATGTGTACATCATTGATGTCCGCGACGGGTTTGAGGTGGAGGAGTTCGGATCGATCCCATTTTCTGTGCACATCCCCTCCACGGAAGTGCGACGGGCGTTTCGATTGAGGGAAGCGGAGTTCATGGGGAACTACAAGTCACGCATGCCGCGCAAATTTGATAAAATTGTCTTTTACGACCAACGCAGCGGCCGTGCGGCAACGGCGGTGGAGGTGGTGGAGGCGATGGGGTACCAACGGGCGACGTACTTCAGTGACGGATTCAGCGAGTGGAAGTCTAAAAGTGGCCGGTCAGCAGACGAGGATCTTTGACATTGGTGAGCCCTATCTTTCATTCCCTTTATTTATTTATTTTTTTAATTTTTAATTTTTTTTTTATGATGATGTTGATGATATATTTATTTATTTATGTGCTCTCGAGTTATGATTATTATTATTTGTGTATATTTATATATATATATATAAAGAGGAGGCGAGGATGGGGATCACTTGTGCCTTCTTGTCATTTAATCGCCTTCCTCTATGCCATTTCATCAAATATGCATACATAGCAAAGAAACTCCGTCCGTATGGCGAGGTGGGAAAACATTGGCTGGCAGCGGGTGTATATATGTATGTATGTATACGTATATGCAGCTTCCATTTGGTTTGTCATCTTTTTTTTTTTTTTCTTGCTGCTGTTGTTGTTGTGGTGGTGGTTGCTTGGTTTTCTCTGTTCTCTCCCCTCTCTCTTTTTTTTTTCTTTTTTTTACTTGGCTTTTCATTCATACACGGCACTTGCATTTACTTTTTTTTTTTTTTTTCCATTTGGGTTTGGAAAGCAATGCGGCACTGGACAGCATTCAGGCGGCCACTGGGGTCTCTGCAAAAGGCGCCGTTTTTACAGCAGCGGCGCATGTCTTCGGAGATGCCGACGGAGCAGGAGCTGCGAAACGCGTACGCAGCGCTGGGTGTCGCCACCTCAACCCCATTCCACGATGTGAAGAAGCGGTACGTGGAGCTTGCAAAGCAACACCACCCGGATGTAAATGGTGGCAATGAACACAACGCATCCTCCCGCATGGTGAACATCAACAACGCTTACGCGACACTTAGTCGCTTTCATAAGGCAGGAGGCGTCCTGCCGAATATTTCCCAGTCATCATCCCGTGACAACGGTCAGTCGTACTACACGGCACAGGATGAGCCGTATCAACCCTGGCACGAGGACCTCAACCCGCTCATATACGAAATGATGTGGGATGAAATGCGCCGTCAGGCTAATAGCGAGGCTTTTGCGCGCGCCGCTGCGGCTTCTCCTGCTGCTACTGGTGGTGGTGGTGGTGGCCAGGAAAACAGACGGCGACAGAACCACCAGCAGCAACATCGCCGACAAGGGAGTGAGACGCCAAGAGATGTCACCCCAAAGGCGCATGGAGACAACAGCCGTCGGAAACCCAATAATGGGAATTACCGAAAGACAACGACGTGGCCTGATGCTGACTTACAGGCAATGGTGAACATGTACCAGGATGGAAAGAGCTTTGAATTTATCGCGAATGCTTTAGGAAAGCAGACGGTTGAAGTTGTCTCCGAGTTTAACCGCTGGAGCGAGGACAAAAAGCGATCCATGCGCCCGGCGCAACGGAGACAACGAGGATACTATTACGCGGAGTCTCCTGATATTGAGTTTGCGGATTTTGATGATTTCAATGATCCCTTTGCTTACGGCATTGGGGATGAGTGTGATTACGTAGACACGGAAGACGTATTCTTTGACGGTGGAGCCATGCCTTTCTCCGGTGGACACTATATGAGCGGTCACCGTCCGCGGCGCGGTGGCGGCGGTGGTAGCGGAAGACGTGGATCGAATCATCGTCCGCGGTAACCGTTACCCGCACGTTACCAGGGCTAAATGTAGTCGTGTTAAGATAAGATACGGGTTCTGGTGTGTTTCTTCTCTCATTTCTTTTTTTTTATTTGCTTTTACTATTATTTTTTTATTTTTCCAGGTTTGTTGTTATTTTAATTAAATGCCCTTTCTTTTTCCTTTTTTGCTTTTTTGCTTTTGCTTTTGCTGTCCTGCGTGACAGGGAAGACATCAAAACGGATGTTGAGACAAACGCCGTTTCGATTTGTGAAGGAGTTGGTTTATTTTGAGGTTTGGGAGCACTTTAAACGGTTTGGCGACGCGAGGGGTACCGACAGCGCAACGTGCCGGGTTCTGTGCGCAGATGACGTCGCGGAGCGGCTCAACGGGCGGGTGAAGATGCGATATCTGTTGGAGCAGTTTCTTGTGAAGAACACATCTACGGGAGGGGCACGTGGTGAGCAGCAGCGCTGGTGGACAGGGGACTTCTCTCGCAGCGTGAATGGTGACCGCCGTGTTGTGGCGGAGATGTTGTTGGAGGACGGATGGGTGTTGGTGCAGATTAACAACGCCGTCTCCGAGCGTGAGTGGCTTGTCACGACCATGACATTTCTTCGGGAGCGGAGTTGACAGGTTAGCGAAGGGGACAGAAGGGGGCGGGGGAAGAGAAGGAGGTGGGGATTTTGACCGTATTTTATACCTTTTATGTTGGCCGTTTTTTTTTTTTTTTATTGGGTGCAATCCTCAGGCTGTCTCTTATTTTCCTCGCTATTTTCTTTTTCTTCTTATTCTTCATTATGACTTGTTTGCGTGCTTGAGTGCTTGACCCGCTTTTATTTTGTTGTTTCTTCTCAGATGCGGCCATAACAGCCTGCAATGTGCTCTAAACATGCCCGTCGAATTCTCACGGCAGGCGGTCTTCATGTCATCTTGCACAATGACCTGAGACGACGTCGCCCTCACGTAACCTGCGTCTTTGCGTTGTTTTTTTCTTTTTTTTTGATGTTGTTGTTTTCGTTATTTCTCTCTCTCTCTCTCATTTGCGACTCTTAGAGTCTTTTGATACGCTAAATGCTGAAATCTGGCTTTTATCTGCTGGGTGGCGTTGTGGGTGCCGCGAGCTCGCTGCCAGCTTTTGTCGCCGCCACCACCCGATCCATTTGGGATCCGGTCAATGCAGACGACGTCGCTGCCGTGGGTGAGATCACTGCGTTGACAGCGCTGGGGCACATGAAGCAATCGATGATGTCGGATCGCACGGGCCGGATGATATTGCGGACTCAACCCCGTGTCACAGACGAAACGCTGGAGTTTGCCAGCCGACAACCGCCTGGTACTTTTGGACATCGATACGCACAGTTCATGAAATTCAATCGTTTCACTCCAAACGGTCGTACGCCTGTCGCCCATATCGCGGACCCAACACTTGCCTATGTCATGCAGCGCCAGCGCGAGACGCACGACTTTCTCCACACCTGCATTGGCTGCGGCCGCACCGTCGAGGAGGAAATTATTGTAAAACTGCTGGAATGGCGTCACACCGGCCTTCCCATTGGTCTTCTGGCTGTCATTGGGAGCTTGCCGTGGCTTAGTAGGCAACAAATACGAAACATGGAACTGTACTTTGAGTGGGCCGAAGTAAACGCACCAAATCAGCGCCATGGGGAAGTAAACATTCCATATATAACCAACGTTTGGTGGGAGTATTATCTTGACAAGCCCTATGAGCAACTTTTGGCGGATACCGGCATTACACCAATTGATGTTTTTCTCCAGCAAAAAAAAGGTAAAACGGCTTTAGCAAATGGCGAAGCAATTGATGGCAAGTGATACAATATACGTCATTACTTTAAATACGTTATATATGCATTTATATATAATGTATTTTTGTCGGAATTTCCTTATTTTTGTTTTTGCAGGTTTATCTTGTTTTCCTTTTTTTTCCTTATTGTTGTTGTAGCCTTTACCATTTATTCTCTGTGTCTTGTAATGAATTGTTGTCGCTGTGGCGGTGCCGATGGGGTGCGCTTTCTGTTTTTTCTCTTTTTTTTCTTTTTTTTTTTTGTTCTTCCCCAAGACGTTATTGTCCCCCCCTCTCTCTCTCTCTAATTCAGACCAAATTTTAACAAATGCACTCGGAAAGACTAAAGGCGTTGCGTGAACTCTCGTCCCTTTTGAAGGAGAAGAAGAATGTGCCGCAGGAGTTGTGGGGTATGGCTGGCATGAAGGTCGGTGCACGACTGAAAGATGTAGAGAAGGAGATTGTTGCCATGAAAAAGAACGTGTCGAAGGACATTAAGTCACAGATGATGGAGGAGCAGCAGACAATGTTGGAGGATGAGGCGAAGAGACACGGCGTCACAGTTGAGGAGCTGGTAGGGAAAACGCAGGAGGAACGTGAGTTTAACATGCAGCTGAAGAGGAACCGTGAACGCGCCCGCGACGGGGACCGCGTCAAGAAGGAGGTGCAGCGGCAGACAGACTTGGGCGAGTACGACATGGCTGTCGACTACGTGTAATTTATATTTGAACGTGCTCTGATGATAGAGCTGTCTTTCCCTCCTTTTCTCTCCTTTCTTTTTTTGCTTCTTTTCCGTGTCTCTCCCTGTGTCTTTTGTTTGGCTTGAGTAGAGGAGCGGTTTGGGGGCAGAAACACCGTTCTCTGCGAGGGCGGGCCTGCACACCCCCGGCGCGGCTGGTTTGCCCACACGGGTGTTTGTGTTTGCGTGTGCAGACGACAGTCAAGCAAGCGGTGGTGGTGTGGGGTTACAACCTTCGACTTTACATCGCCCCATTGAGGAGCGGCAGCAGCAGCAGAGAAGAGAAGAGGAAGGGGGGAAGGAAAGAGGCGTGGCCAACACACGCATAAGTACGGCAAGACACATGTGAATAAAAGTTGAGAAGAAGAAGAAGAAAAAAAGAAAAAGAAGTTCCGTGAAGCGGCGATTGGAGTATTCGAATGGGAACGAGGAGGGGGGAAATTTTGAGAGGAAATACAAATATTATTATTGTTGTTATTAAACATTACATATTTAAGACTTTTAATGTCAAATATTGTCATCGCGGAAAAAAACAGTCAAACACCGACGGTCCTTGTTGTTGGTGTTTTGTTTTTGCATATTTATGCATATATTGTTTTGACTCATCTGCTTCGCCAGCATTTTTTTTTTTTTTTTTTTCCTTTTAGGCTCTCTCCGTGTTTTTTTTTTCTCTCTTATTTTCTGAAGGGAATTTGTTATTTGTTGTTTATTCCCCGGTTGCGTGCCGCGTTGGTGGGGTGATGCAATGCTCCCGGCCTGCGCTCTCAATAGCCGCGTGGTCAGGCGGTCTGGTGGGGTTTAGTGACGCCGTGGCGCAGGCGGTGCAACGGAAGAAAAAGGCGGGGAGAGAAGGAGGAGGGAATGTGACGCCAGTGCGGTGCATGTTAGCGACACGTGCCATTTGTAGAGGAGAGAAACTTTGCGTCGTCCCAGAGTCCCATATTCTGCACGGTGAGAATGCCGCCCGGCTCTTGCAACGGGCCGCGGCAGAGCGACTCCTTTCGGATTACGCCACCACACAACGTTGCCTGGCAAATGTAACAGGCGACACTTCTATCATCTCGACACGAGATGCGTTGCTGATCCTCCTTGCCGTACATGTTTTGAGGCAAGGTCGCATGACACATCCATTAACGCCATGGTCGGCATGCCTCCCGCCGCGAGTACCGCCAATGGGTGTATTGCTGCAGCAAAGTCATCAACATCATGCGGGGACGGCGTCCTTTGAGCCACTGCAGCGACGCCTACGCATGGGAGAGCAGATGATTGTTTTGCATCCAGGCGAGGACGACACCAAAAAAGCCTCCACGGAGCTCATACTGCAGGCCGCTGAGCAGTACGGCATCGGGTGCGTCGGAAAGCCGCAGACGGAAGTGATACCATCGCAGACTTTGATGACATCATTTTACCGAGGCACTCGTCATCCGTTGACGCGGCGGCAACACGAGGCATATGCTGCACAACGTCGTCACGTCCTTTCTGCGGAGACACAGCAGCTGTTGCAGCTAGAGGAGTCGCTCCACCGCATTGTTATCGAACCGCTTCTTCCATGTTTGTTGTCTGAGAGTAGTGAGTGCCGCAATAACGATACTGGCGATGGCACTCTTCTTCCTGAAGAATGTGATTCTGAGAAAAAAATGGCTATGATTGAGCAGCTGCGCTGGTCGCACTTTATGGTACGCTCCCGCGCGGTGAATTTGCAACTTCAACGTCACTACCAGCCTCAAATTGCGCTAGTTCCGTTTCTTGACATGCTCAATCACTCTGTGAGGGATGCCAATGTGGCGTACCAGTACCGTTCTGGCGTTGGCGTCGTTGTTGTTGCATCACGACCAATTAAGGCCACAGAAGAGTTGACAATTAATTACGGTGATTACAGGCAGCGGGGCTGCCTTTTTTCCTATGCCCAAGAGCACAAAACGGGTGGGGAAGAGATCAGCGCAGCCATGCGCCGCATCGAATCGCGTCAAATGCGGGAGTGGGATGATTCCCCAAATGACGATAACGCTGACGATCTTGTGGAAGCCCCATTCGGTCATGGGATGCAGCAACAACAACACGCATCCGATGTCGACAGTAACGAAGAGGCACGGACGGAAGCAACGTGGTTGTGGCGCTTTGGTTTTTCACGCACCGACGACGAGAAGGCGTACATTGCGTCACGGCTGTGGAGTAAGGGCCTGCGGCGACGCATTGCCCAGCTGACGGACGTGCGCCGGAAAGGGCGGCCTGGTGAGTTTGTCATTGGGGTGCCAGAGGGGCTGCAGCAGCTGCGCGAGCAGCGCGAAAGGCTAGAGCGGGAGCGCTTTGGCGGCGCCGCGGTGTTTCCTCCACAGAACGTGTAAATACCGCCGAGGACAAGGAATAAAAAGAAAAAGAAATTTGTTTGACCATTTCCACATGTTTCTTTTCCTTGTTGGTGTTATTATTATTATTATGATTATTATCTTTTCCCCTCCTCTATTTGTGTAGAGGCCG